ATTTGACATGTTCATCAACTATCTACAACGTTTGCACTTTAGGTCACAAGAGACTGCAAAGTTAGCAGATAATTCTCTAGGGCTTATTACTACAAATGATCCCTTCACATGAAAACAAACATGACTTATTTTGGATGAGAAGTCTTGAAGAACATGACTGCTAAAGATAGCTTCCTGCTGACTATCGACAGGCAATGTGATATTCGGTATTCTGAACAGAACAGAGCAGGCTGAGGCAGAGCATGCTATGATATTTCGGCATATATAATAAAGTTGCATCAAAGATAGAGTTAAAGCAACTGTATGAACACAAGTGAGAGAGATATAGAGAGAAGAGGTGTGAGTGAGACGAGAGCTGAGAATACAGGATAGAGTGCAAATTAAATCCAAAGCAAAGAGAAAATGGGGAAAATTTGTCATAAGAGAAAAAGGACTGAAGATGAGGCAACACTCGGAATGGAGTCCGTATAGCTCCATGAGAGGAAGAATGGGAGGCTAATAGCTTTTCGGCAGCTGGGTCTTCAAAAAGAGAGTGCCTGCCTAGCAACTGCACACGCTGAGCTCGTAGCAGCAGCCTGGTCACAGTTGTCATAGAAACAAGCACATGTAAAAGTTTTTACCGTATTTATAAAGAGCAGTTTGCAACTTGAGAAACATTTACAATTTTTAGGTTCCAGGTTATTATCTGCTCTCGCTTTATTTAGAACGACTTTTGACGTACATCAGGGGACTCATTTATTAACACGCTACAAACTCCTCTGGTTATATTTGAAACAAACATATTGCACGCACACACATACACATACACACACACACACACACACACACTTACATGAGTGCCAAGCCGAGGTAGTTAGCTGTGCTGCCCCAGTACATTGGGTTCTCTGTGATGTTGAAAGGAAAGCCTGTTACCTTCTCATCCATCAGAATGCCAAAGTAGTCACCTGGAAAATACATAAAAGGACAAAACTTGTGTTTCATAACTTCAGTCTGACAGTTTCTTTTTCTTTTCAGTGATTCAGGAAACTGGAGTCTATCCCAGTAGCACTTGGCAAGAAGCAGAAAACATTTCTAAAGTGTCCAAATTTCAGTTCTCCATCATCTTATCAACTGGTCCCTAGTAGACATGTATTCAGTCAGCAAAGCCCTTTGGACTTGCGCAGCGTTACCATGGTTTCTGCTATGCCATCAACTGATGTCTTGTTTTCACAATCCTACCAGACAGATTTTGGACCTGCTTATCAAGTCTACGATGATTTTTGACATGTACCTGACAAAACAACGCAACACTAAAGTCAGACTGAGGATACACTGCCGGGAACATGACACAGCTCTGTTAATGCTGCAGTGTCTGGGTGCTGTGCGTCACCTGGCTGTTATTGGTGTCAACAATACAACTCTATGGGCATGACTTCATGTGTAATCTTTGGACTTTGATTCATAGCTTTTGGTGACCTGTTTTAGCAGAAATATGTCCTTAACTTTTAGTAATGGGATTTTTTCTGACAACCCCACTCTCAGCAATGGCAAAGTGTATGGCAGCATAGTGCCTTAGTCAGAGATGAGACCCACTGATGGGCACTCAGTGATTTTGTTTTTTTTTTCCTCCTAGTACACTAGTGCCTAAAAGCTGGCCTCACAAAGATGTGTTACTGCAAATGGGACTATTTTCTGGTTGGCACCACTGCTTTGTATTTACTGGTGCATCAATCCAGCTGGCTCTCCTGACAATTTTGTCACTGCAGGAAGATGAGGTCAGTACCACACATCATGCGTATAACATAAATCAAAAAGCTCCATGTG